TTAATATTTAAAAAAAGTAAAAAAGAATCACCTCAGTGTTATTATGAGAAAAAAACCTTAAACTAGTTGCCAATATTATGTTCTAGCCCTTTAATTCACTATAATAAAATGAAGAATGAAAATAAAAACTAATTCTGAAAACAGTAAGGAAAAACTAACTTGTCTATTAGCTAGAATCTGAATCAGCTGAAAATACCTTTAAAATATTTTATAATCAGCACAAATTTACTACTGAGCTGATAAAAACATAAGTGAACAAAACCCCTGAAACATAGAGTGATTTTTTTTTCTTTGATTTTCAAAATTAGGGAAGAAACTTAAATTAAGAAGCTGAAAAGTTATTTGTGTTTAGAGCATCTTTATCAACAGGCACAGTTTCTAGAGCAACAGGATGCAACCATAACATTTTAATAACTTAAAACGTAGTAAGTCACTGAATAGAAACATGGTTGGAAGCAACTTGGATTAAGTAATAATACTCAGCTCATTACGATAAAAATCTGTCCACTGTAAGGCCTGTAAAACAGACAAATTCAATAACTTACATTTTCTGTCATTGTTATGGTCAGTTACTATTCAGGGGGGTAAAAAAAAATGTTAAGGAGATCTGAATATACAGGGAATGCCATATTCTAATTAGCTAAGACAAAAACAGGAGCAAGACTAAAGTTTAGAGTCTGGATGAAGTGATATACAAACCTGAGAAACTAATTTCATTTTGGTGACAAGTCTGGCAGTGGTTTAAAAATAAAAATTAAGATAACACAAGCCAGCATCATCTTGCAGTACACAGTCAGTCTTTAACATGCCTATCTAATACTACAGTGTCCTCTCCCACAGAGGCAGAAAGAAACACAGAATGATAATACAGAAGACAAGGGTAAAGAGAAGTAACAAAACTGTTGCCATCACTTGTAGATACAGCTATGAGATGCCTCGTTTGCATACATCTAAATACCTTACTGACCCAGGAAGGCATTGGGAACTTCATTATCAAAAGAAGATAAAGTGGAACTGTGGGGACAACAAACAAAGGGGCATTGCCTTAGGTCTGAGAGAGCCTGATGATGTTTGGGAGTGCAGATTGTCCTGAGGCAGGTATGGCATCAACCTCAATAACTATAAAGTGTCAAGTAGTGGAACAAGCTCTGTTTTTAAGGAAAAGTGTCACTCACTCAAACACATGATGAGATGGTGGCTTTGATCCTTTCTCTAACAGGCTCTGAAAGACCTATGGAAGAGTACACTAGAAAACACCAAGTCTTTGCCTAAAAACAGATGAGTGACCCAAGAGATACGCTGGGGAGGGGGGCAGGCTGGAAAAAAAGAAAAGCTTTCTCTTTTCATTCACATGCATTGCAACAGGTTGTTGGAACACTGTTCATCCAATGAATAATTTGTGACAATTAATTACCAGGACCATTATGTTCTATCAGCACCTAATAAGATGGGATATAATGGAGAATGGTATTTGCTGTTGCTCCCAGCTGAGATCAGGTTCTATTTTCTATACACCCATACAAGAGAAAATAAATTATTCAGGAAGTTTAAGTTAGAAATTCAACTGATCCATGTTGTTGGAATTAAGTCTCTCAGAGATTTTAAGAACAATTATACATTAACAAAAGAAAAAACTAAAAGAGGCAGCATGACAAAAAAGTAAGCTTTCTGCCCTATTATATACCATTTTATTTGTCATACTCAAAGCTAAGCCTGTACAAGTTTGTACATATCGCATTGAAAGAACTGTTCACTAGCGTAAAAAAATTAACAAAACAGAAACATTAAACTTATGGTCCCTTCTGCAATTTTTGTGCAGTCAATATCAATATATCAGCTCAAAACTTTTGAGAGATACAAAAAAACCTTATCAATGGAAATACAGACCACAGTGGTCCCTTTCAGGCCACGTGCAATTGGTACCCAGCTTGTATCCACAGTCATCTCCAATGTAAAATTCAAACTCTGTGATATAGAAATGTGAAATTACAGCTATTAAAGAATTAGATGTTGAAACAGTAAAGATAAATTGGATCAAAACTGTATATACAGTTAAAGATAGAGGTAAACATACATGACTGTTTAATTCAAGATCGCATTTTTACATAGAAGAAATATTACATTCCAATTTACCAGTATGGCTTTTTCCATAAACAGGTGGGCATTTTCAGATTTAAACCCAAAACTGTTAGTTGTCTAAGAAAACTAGAAAAATTTAGTTACATTAGGAAGAATTAATATCAAGAAATGGAAGTGAGATTAAATTGTAGTTTATAACATCAAGATAGACACACTATGATTTAGTTTTGGAAGACATTTCACCTTCACTTTTATTATTTATCATAACTGTCGCAGCATTATTTCACCTGTGAACTTTCATCTTAGAATAGTGAAAAATAAGGTGTCACTTTTTTTAATTAAATTGACTGAAATGCACCTGAGCAAAGCAAAAGCAAAAGTAAAATTCAAAGACTAAAGAAAGCATTTAGCTGAACTCAGTTCTGGCTTGTGGACATGCACAAAATGAAATAAAAGTAAAATAAATAAACAGTTCTCTGCAGTTATCCACATTAAGCTGTAAGGTGATTTGATAAAAGACAGCTAATAAAAGTGATCAGCTCACAATGAAACTGTACAAGCCATTAGTTCACATTTAAACAATAAATCTGATTGCAGTTTTGAGCACAAAAACATAACTTAAAATCCTATTTTATTCAAATTTGAAAAACTATATTGATTTTAAGTAGTTTTAAATACATTCATTCCCAGTCCAAGTTTTACAGTAACTGATGATTTTCAATCACACACACAACCAAGTTATAAATCCCTGAAACATGGATTTATTGTAGGAATACTGATAAAACCTTAACAGAGATACAAATGATACATCACATAGTGTTTACACCTTAACGGTAAGTACTTGACCACCTTGGATTGGTAGATGCATCACTCCTACTGTTACACTCTAATACCATCCTCTAGGACCAACTGGTTTAAATTGAATTCACAACAGTTCGCAGTTACCTAAAAGAGATGATTTATTTATTTATTTTTAATCACACTATAAAATATTAATCTTCTAACCGGTATTTCAAAACTTCTGGAAAGAGAATTTCCCAATTATAATGGGGACTAAACATACTAAGCAAGGAGAGTCATTACAGCAAATTTGAAAAAGTCATTACAGAACCAGTGCCCTTGCAGAGATTTACTATACAGCAGTACTTCCCTTGACATAAGTTAGTTGGTGTATGTTTATCTGTGCATCTTATGACCTTACAGTACCAGTAGATCTTGGGACTCTTGAAGTTAATCTCATTCTGGCACTAACTTTCTGTGGGGTAGGGCAACTTCCAAATGAAAGGCACTGTGTTATGAGTGAAATCAGAATTATCAGCAATGCAGATGGACAACTTGCAACATACTGAAGAGAACTGCTGTAGCCCACACGAGATCTAAAATTAAGTACTTCCCTTAAAAAAAAAAAAGGTGGAAAAAATATTTAGAACAGTTGTAGTGCACATGTTTGCATGCACACAGACACCAGCTACTGTACAAGCAGAGGTCTTCCACATATCTTGTGTTGGATCTTTTTCGTTTTTGTATTTCTACCTTTCCCTCTCCCAATGCTTTTTTCCACAGAGGCAGAACCAAGCTTCTAAGGTTCAACTGCAGTATCAGGTGTCCTGCCCATGGACCACCACTGTATTGTTTCCTGCAGCCCACAGCAAGCAGGTCTGGAGAATAAGTTGCAGGAGTGGTTCTCTCTTTAGAGCACAGGGACACACTACTGGTTTGTCCCACTTATTATTATTTCTCCTCACACTTTCTCTTTTGTTTTCCCCTCCTTGAAAAAAAAAAAAAAAAAAAAATCATCTTAGGAATAAAGCTTTCCGTAAGGATAGGAAAACTCATGCTTGTTAGTCTGAATAAGGGATGTGCAAAACAGAAGTCATTTCCCTGAGGCAAAGATCTTCAAGTCATGCCTAGCTTACATTGTCAATTCTTATTTCAAGCTGTTGAAATATTTGGCACAATGAGGCCTTGATCACTGACTGAGTCTCATGGCATTATCAGTCTACATAACATTTTTATAATAAAGCAGAAGTTACAAATGCTTCATTCTTTCATTCTGTTCTGGTTTCTCACATTTACTCATTCAAGTCTCTTTCCTTCTCAAGGATGGCATTGGGCCTCCTGGGCATGAACGCAGAGTGACAAACTTCTACTGCATTTAAAAGTTGCCATGAATACTGAGCACCTAAAAGGGCAATCACAGTTGTTATTGGACTCAATATATGGAGTAACAGGGTAAAAATTAATAGCCTGTTATATATAGGTCAAAGGTAGGTGATTTAATAGTCTCTTCTTGACTCACATTATGAAAAACATCCAGGGAGATAAAAAAAAAGTCATGTTGTGAATGCTTCCAGTGTAAAACACATAAGAAGCAAAGCTTGAAACCAAGTCTTTCCAACTTTCCTTTTTAAAATATAAATTGCACTTTTAATACAAAGCAATCCAAAGTCTAATTGCAGTAAAAATTTTAAGCTGCCTTACTGTACCATAGAGTTCACCATCTGAAGTACAGGCAATTTTCCATTCTGCATATAGAGCCATATGCTTTACAGCTTTCTGCTTTAAAAAGGTCTGCCATTAAATGCCATGCCACTGGGTGGGTACTGAACAAACAAGAAAAAAAAATAAGATTTTAAGGCCTTTATCTCCACAAGGAGCTGAAAACTGTGGCACAACCCATAACCAATACTTCATATGTAAATTAGCACACTCCCACCCAGGGCTCCAAAAAAATCAGTCATTCTTTCTAATGTTTGTCACACAAGTCAATCATACCATCAGCAAGCAACAGTGCCAGTTAAGCATTTTTTAAGGTCTTCAAAAATTCATAGCAAAGGGCACTTCTGAGAAAGATAATCTTAAAGATTTGGTTTTAAAAATAGACACCACACTCACATTCAAGGGACATTCTTCACTTTTAGGCCTTTGTCACAAATCTGAATCTTTATTGTTCTGAAATAAATGCTATAAACATAAGACTCAAAACAAGAACTCCAACTTTCAGTCTCAGAAGACGTGTGGTTCAATGCCCGTATCATGTGTAACAAGAAAATTTCCTTTAAAAAGGAAAAAAAAATTACTGTAAAGTCTTTCTTAAGAATGAAAATGCAATTCTTTTTCTCATCAGTTTGTGTACAGGTGGGCACCAAAAAAAAACTTCTGCATTTTCTTTTGAATTCTTGCTATGACGCTTGACGAACTTTTTGCCATTCAACAAATTCATCCAGAAGTACAGGCCCTGCAAATGGATGAAACTTGGAGTTACATTTGCCAATGTCTTTCAAACATCTGTTAAAGTATGAAGGTTAAAAGTACTGGTCTAGGTAACATCTATGTCAATCCTATGGTCAAATACTTATGAAGACTCAAAGATGACTGCAATCATTTCAATCCAAGGGTGGCAAAAAGCACACAATAACACTACACAAAACTATGGAAAAAAGTGTTCCTGACGTCTGACAAGTGCATTGTGCAGTGAACTGAAAGCATAAAAATAAGGTTATATTGTAAATTGGCACAACTAATTCCTTCTTCCTAGAGCTTTCAAAACCGCACATAATTAGAACACCGACCAAAATGGGATGACTAATGCAATTCAGTCACAGCATGACTGACTATCAGACAGATGTAGAGTTCAGCCCCAAGTACAAGCAGCTAGGTCACTTTGTAGTTTAACTAGAGTTTATTATATATTAGTACAAAATGAGTTTGCTGTTTATAATTCTATTTGCAAGTCTATAGTTTAGTACAGCAAGCAGCCTCACTAGATCCTCAACTGAATGTAAGTTGGCTCAATTACACCATCATACCCCTGAAATGCTACTACAATTAACATCTGCAGTTTGAAGATGGATGGTTACCAGGACAGTTGTTGTATGCATTGTTGGAGAGGAAATATTTTATACCAATATTGTTTCTGTTACAGAAATCTGTTTTATGCAAATCGAAAATAATGAAATACTAGTTGTTATGAATGTTATGAATACTTACATGCACCATCTTCATCATAGTTGCTAAGATCCGCATGCACAGTTCTGCTGAACTCTAGCACATTGTACCACTGATCCTTGTTCATAACTCTGTACTTTGATTGCTAGGGAAAATAATTTTAGAACATTAAAATGTCAAGTGACATTTGGTAATGCTGCATCTCATTTCTCTCATTTTATCTTCACTCGGTTCCTAACAAATAATGTAATGGGCAACAACAGTTACTATGTCCTGTTTTTTTGTTTTTGTTTTTTCCTTGATTTTCCATTTTTTAAAATACTACATGTGTACATATTTAATAGTTCTGAAACTACGTAAAATGATTTCTTGGTAGATCACAGCAAAATTGAAATATCAGGGAATCAGGCAGTCACCACTCTTAAGCTTCAAAACCTGGTAAATTTTCATCTTGCCCTGAAGTGGAGCATACCTAGCTCAGATATATTTCCAGAATGAACAATTACAAAAATGTTCTTTTCTCCAGGAAACAATTCAGTATGATCATAAGGACATCTATTTTACAACATTAGTACTGATTTGAAGCCAGGGAACAGTCTCAAGACTGGCATGCTCCACAACCTACACATGTCCACATTACTAAGTCACTTGCAGCTGAGCTGACAAAAAATCTTTCAGAGACAGCCAGAGCTCAAGGTACCTACATACTGTATCGGTATAACACAAACTTGAAATTCAGCTCAGATGCAGCTGAAGAGACTACTGGAGCTCTATTATTTAATTTCAGATTTACTTTTATAGTCTAATTAAGACAGAATTTTAATTGCCTTTGATAAGGAGGGTGGGCACAGGGAGGGAGAAAAGGATCTGTGATGCATACAAGAATATCAGTTTCATAAGCACACTGAGGAAAGGAAGAAGAGCAATATTCTTGAACAAAACAACATAAACCCTAAAAATCTTTTCACAGAACATCCCAACCACTATGCCATCATTCAGAAAGTCAAGGAAATTTGTACCTCCAGGTACTGATAAAATACTGAAAACAGTGGCCAAGTTCTTCCAAGTAGAAGAGCTAACATGGATTTTGCAGTATCAATATCAAGACTTCGCTGGTCTTTATCCTAAGGTTGAATAAAGAAAGCACAAAAAACACTCAAGTACAAGCTCATTGAATAATTAAAATAAGAACTTCTCTAACATTCTAATAGTCTTACCCTTGCAAAATCAAAGGCATATCTGTAGATATTCTTAAAGGATGAAATGTCATTCAATTGTGACCGCAAGAAGTCAAATTTACTCTGTAATTTTTCTGTGCAGTCACACCTTAAAATAAAGAAAACCAAATTATGTTAGAAGTTCAAAAAAAAACATTTGGACAATGAAAAAAAAAGTCAGCAAACAAAAAAATTCATATCATCAAAATGCAATCATCAGATGTACAGGAATAATACTACAGAAATGACTTAAAGAACACTGAACATGCTCAACATCTGCAGCTTACTGAAATGATGAATGCCTGGCTTCTGTAACCATGTTTTTTCAAAATGCATCAGCAACATAATACAAAGTCTCTGCTTTACTTCTCAAATAGTGGTCTTTTTATGCCATACTCTGCAATTTATATTCATACCCAGCACTATCTTATCTTTCAATCACTATGGAAGTTCGGAAGCAACAGTATTTGGCGTTCAGTAAGGCGGTGAAATCCAGCTGTAAATAATGGCTTTATGCCATATCACTTTGGAAAAAATAAACCCTGAACACATACTTCAAGGCTACATCTACAAGTGTTAGGATTGAGCAGGTGCTCTGCAAAACATACTAGTCTGCTCATGTTTTAGGACTGATAAATGCAAGCTCCGATAAGCCTATCACCTGGATTTGTCAGTAGCTTTCAACTGAAAACTCACAGGCTGTACGAGAAGGTACAGGTCTGCTAGTTGACAGGACAACCCTTTGGCCAAAAACCCGCTTTGGCAGAAAAGGAGATCTCCACATATTTTATTTAGCAAGGACTTAGTTTCCAAATAGACAATGAGCTAGATTCACCAACAATGGCAGAGAAGAATGTAATTTACACATGCTAATCCTCCAGGAAAGACTCACTCAAAGCAACAGTTGTTATATCACATTTTATTCTTATAAAATAATAGCTGCTATGGTAAAAAAACCCAAAAAATCCACCTTGCCCTGCATTCTGTGTGACAGAAGCAATACTTTCAGAAATGCAGATGTACATAAATACTTCCTTTGGTAATGTTTCCCCCTTCTGGAAGCTGCCTCTCAGAGAATACATTGGCATCTTTAGCAGCTCCTTACGGACTTGCCCCAGCAGCCCACAGGAAGGGCCCTTCAGGAGTACATGTACCGGTGGCTGAGATGCTGCGCTTTGATGCTGTTCTCTGCCCACAGCCTCAGGATACTTCCTCTTCCTCAGGTCTGCCAGCCTGTGCGTGCACATCTGTCTGTCTGTCTGTCCCTCTCAGGCTGTGACAAGAGAAACGCAGCAATTCCAGCTGATGGAGCCTTTTGCTATTTCTCGTCTCTAGCAGCATCTCATAAAGCAGCACTCAGTCCCTGCCAAGGTCAGTGCTAAATAAATAAAACTATTAGCTAATTAGGTCATATTCAGATGACAAGAACTGATACATTTTGCACTAAAACATGCGTTAACCTGAAAAGAAATCTTGGGAAAAAAAGCTTTGGTAAATTTAACTAAAGATAAAAATCAAGTTTTTTTGTCTTCAGCCATCTAATTGGCCTATGTATTCTATCCTTTAACCCCTAAAAGAGTATTATGCCATGTTACAAAGGCATCTAATTTTTCATAGAATCATAGAACGTTGTGAGTTGGAAGGGACCCACAAGGATCATCGAGTCCAACTCTTGCCCCAGCATAGGACAATCCCGAGATTTAGACCATGTGTCTGAGTGCCTTGTCCAAATGCTTCTTGAATATTGTCAGGCTCGGTGCCATGACCACCTCCCTGGGGAGCCTGTTTCAGTGCTCCACCACCCTCAGGGTGAAGAACTTTTTCCTAATGGCCAACCTAAACTTGCCCTGGCACATCTTCCTGCCATTTCCCCTGGTCCTATCGCTGGTCACCAGATAAGAGATCAGCACCTGCTCCTCCTCTTTCCCCTGTGAGGAAATTACAGACTGTGATGAGATCTCCTCTCAGTCTCCTCTTCTCCAGGCTGAACACTCCAAGTGACTTCAGCCTCTCCTCATATGGCTTCCCCTCTAAGCCCTTCACCAATTTAGTGGCCTCCTCTGGACACTCTCCAGTAGCTTTATATCCTTTTTATACTGTGGTGCCCCAAACTGCCCCCAGTACTCGAGATGAGGCTGCACCAGTGCAGAGTAGAGCAGGACAATCACCTCCCTTGCCCGGCTCGCAGTGCAGTGCTGGATGCCCCCAGGACATGGGTGTCCCTCTTGGCAGCCAGGACACACTGTTGGCTCATGTTCAGCTTGCCATTGACCAGAACCCTCAGGTCCCTCTCTGCAGGGCTGCTCTCCAGCCTCTCATTCCCCAGACTGTGTGTGTGTCCAGGGTTGCTTGTGTCCCAGGTGCAAAATGCAGCACTTGCCCGTGTTACAATTCATACAGCTGGCGATTGCCCAGCTCTCCCATTTATCTCCATCTCTCTGCAGGGCCTCTCTGCCCTCGAGAGTGTCCACAGCTCCTCCCAATTTGGTGTCATTGGCAAACTTAGTTAGCAGTCCTGCAAGCCTTATTAAGCCTCAAGATTCCTGAGCTATTGTCAACCTATTTAAAACCAAACATTCAAACAGACGAGCATCACCCTCTGACACCCAATGCAGCGACATAACTGTTAAAGCCATTTAAGGCATTTCCACGCCTTGCCACTGATTTTCTTCATGCTAGTGAGGTAAGGAGCTGTCAAACTCCTCTGCAATAGAGATACAGTGCTTGTGTGGCTGCACCATAAACAAGATGACTGAGGTCACCCATAGTTACAATAATCTTTTTAACAGGTTTTTTTTTTTTTTTTTTTTTAGTCAGAACAACCTTCTAATTAGCACAAGTGAATTAACACCAAACTCCCGTACAGAGCCTGGAAAAAGACATGATTTCTTGAACTGCCTTTACTGAAGGATAGCATTAAACAAGGTGACCTCAAGATCAGCAAAACTAGACATTAGCTTACTACATTCTCTTCACATCCTTACATCACATTTATAACAAAAGTTAGATTAGCACCACAAAGCAGTCCTATTTTGATTTCTATTGAGGTACACAGTTCATTTGAGGCATAACTAACATGGTTAGAGTGATGATTGAATAACTCCTACTCAGATATTTTAATGTTTAATTTTTCATAATTATTCACACATGCTTGTCCTTTACTAAAAGGAAAGATTACCAAGATGTATATAAACATTGAAACAAAAGCATATAATGATAGTATATAAAGTAGCTTGAAGATCTCGTAATCTACAAGAGTTCCTCTGCCATCATCCAGCCCCCCAGATGGACAAAAGGAAATTATATCCATCTAGCCCATCCACTTTCTCCAAGCACTGAAACAGGATCTTCAAAAATTTAGGTTCCATGTTATAACTGGACCATGCAGAGGTCCAGGGAAGTGATGGCTTAAGAGAACAAAGAGACATCTTCTCCATGCCCTGAAAATGCCATAGTGAAACTATGTCAATTGATTTACAGGTCAGGAGACCAGCAATTGTTTAGATTCCAGTACACACTGAATACTATACTGTCATTAAAAAAATAAATACTACTAATAAAAAATAATAACAATAAAAAAATTACACCATGCCTTGTGTAAGGCTCCCAAACATTAACAGAAAGAAAGGTAATAACAAGCAAAAAGCTCACTGGAAAAGCAGCTTGTATCAGGCTATCATTAAAACCAACCCAAATAAGCTGTTTTACTAATAATTCTGCAAACAGCAAGAAGTTACAAACCTGACTTTCCTGCCTGTCTCTCTCATGTGGCTTCTCTTGTACCTAAAAATGGGAGGTCACAACCTTATCTTTCCCACAGCTAGAATCTAATTTGGCTCTCTCCCCTTTACCTGGCCACTCATTTTCAAAAGCTTAATTTTAACATAAAATTTGGCTCAAATTCTAAAGTTAAAAAAAAAACAGCCACAAGGAAGTACTCAGACAATACAGTTGCTTACGCCTCACTTCCTTACACATTAGATTCTTTTTATTTACCTAGTTCAAACAATGACTTCTGTGGAGTTTAGTAAAATCATTAATTGTACTCCTTTTTCCTTAACCTCCATTTTGTAACTAGATTTTTCTTTGCAGGTCTATGAAACCTACAATTGACAAATGCATGAGTATGCTTCTCCTTTAAGTTTGATACACAAAGTCAAATGCTCAACTCTAAGTTATTCACCCTCCAAAGACCTTAAAGCAAATGTAGATAGTCACTTCCCGAGGGTTATTCGTTTCATCCTAAGAAGGTGTTTAAAATAGCTGAAATAAATTGCCCAGCAGAGGTACTTGTTTCTCTGTGATGACTATGAAAAGAGCTTCAGGTATTTAATTTAGATTCAGCCATCCAGCTTTCATGTGTACACACACACACATATATATCTAGGGCAGAATTCACCTGATCAAAACAACATACAAGAAACCTCACCTTCGCAGCTTAAGTTGTTTAAGTCTCAATAAGCAGCAACTTAGTGCCGGACCCACCTTAATTTTGAGAGTGCATACCTTATCATATATTTATTTTTCTCCTCCTCTCTAAAGAACAAACTTCATCAGCACATCACAAAACCACACACAAAAAGAATGTCACTTCAAGATTCAGGCACCCAAATGCTGGCATTTGACTGTACATTAGATTTAGGTGTCTAAGCTTTAGGTGTTGCCATCCATAGAGGTCTAGTCAACTAGCCTGCAAAAGCAGTTCAGGTGATCAATCACTAGGTGTTAGGGCAAACCGAGTACCTCCCGGGGCTCCACTACATTGACTAGATCTCCAAAGATTGCCCTAAGAGTTGAAGAAATCCAGCTCTTGCATATAATCCACACATTTAGGTGTCTTCTTACTATGGAGCTGAATTCCACCCAATCCTATCCATGCAATTACATTATGTGACATTTCACATATTCTGAAATAAGGATTCTGTAATATAACTCTGACTTAGAATACACTCTGGGCTTTTAATGCATTTTAATGCCACTTCTTCATGCAAACATAAAAAAAAAAAAAAAATGCTGTGCTAGAATGTTGCAACTCTATTGCTTTAAAAGCATAAAATCCGCCTCTTTCAAAACTTCTGCCAAACCTTTCGAGAGAAACTAAATTCCCTATTCCAGATAGAATCCCATAATATGATCCTTCCATCCCAGCAAGCACACAAAGTCTGCAGATTTATATTCTCTTTAAGCCAACCAATCTTGAATTCCTTTACAAGTGTCACTGCTTCATCCAACTGCTTAGTTTACAGCCTGCTATTAAAGCACACCCAGGGGAAGCAAAACATACAGGTGAACTGGTTTAGGCTTAGGCAAGTGTTCCAACCACAAATCTGTTTATCTGAAAACGCACAGCAGTGCCATATTTTCTATCTTAAATGCATTTAGCCTACAGCATGACCAGCTCTGTTCTTAAGAGAACCAGAAGATTCCTAATCACAGCAGTTTATTAGAAACAAAGTCTGTAATATGGCTCTGAAGAGGTGCCTGATGTCACACATCTTTCTGCTTGCATTCTGCTAGACTGGCTAACTCTTGAAAGCTTCCCTTTGGGCATAAAAATGAAGTATTTCAGAGAAGTGACCAAATTATATCCATTCATTAAAATTTTAATTTTATTAAAAATTTATACACCTAGAATTTAATCTCTGTCATCCTGAATTTCAGGCAATTTATTCATTCCAGCTCTCGTCACAAAACAATCAAGGCACCTATTGGAAGCCTCATCCCAAATCACATAAGATTTCCACAAGAGAGTCAGGCCAGAGTCACTTACTCCATAGCCTCAAATAACCAGAGGGTATCTGCCCAGTACATTTTCCCAAACCAATTCACACTGGATAGGGCAACTGTGCCAACTCCAGGGGTTAAATCATCCTCTTTTTCCCACCATGCTGTAGCTGCCACAGTAGCTCCTCTGCTCCCAAGGGTTACACACTGAATGCAGTGTCATAACAAGTCACTCTTAAAACATTCCTATACCATAAGTAGTTTCATGAAAAAGAAACAAAAAGTGACAAGTGAACTAAGCCTCACAAAAAGCTGATTAGTTCATGAAAAGAAACAACATCTTCAGGCAGAGTATTATCTCACCAAAAACTCTTACAAACAGAAGGAGTCAGAAGCTTCTATATAAATTGAAAAAGTGTTACTTAAACTTAAGTATTAAGCGTGGCTTCTGACCTGCACTTAATTAATAACACTAATAACCAAAATTATTATCAATGCAGTCCTCATCTATAAAGCTTAGAAGTCAGTAAAAACTTTCTAGAATACCAGTGCCGAGATCTGCTTATGGGCATGTCCAGATCTACTTTGTGTCTGCTAACTAGAATGATATTTTAACGTATTTTTGTAAGAAAAAGAAGCCAACAAAACCTGCCTTATTAGGGTTAGACAAAACTTTACTTTGAGTGAACTCATCAGATTCACGACTTGATGAACAACAGTAGCTACTTCCAGTTGTTGACAGAGACCAGACCAAAAAGCAAGACTTTGTGTCTTATTGCCAATGCCCAAGAAACTAAGGGCAAGAATAATTAAGCTACTGGTACAATCATAAAATTAGAACATTCTATTATATATGTAAAAACACTCTTACTGTAATGAGGTCATTCCTTTTAACCATTCTTCCTTGGTAAAAAATCCCATGCTTTCAGCCTCTAGTTTCCAGGCTAAAACTAACATAATAATCTATGGGTGAAAAAAACAAGGGGAGAAAAAGGAGTCAGTATGTAAGAAAACACTGATTTCTAGATGTCCAAAAAGAAAATTCCAAGCATTCAAACACTCTAGGAATTGTTGTTCACGCTTGCATTTTATATTTGTTACCATTTAATAATTCAGCTATGTGTAATCTTTCCTTTAATTTCAATTTCTGAAAATTAAGTATTGCTGTAATAAAACAAACAAGAGATCTTACACACCAGTCATGCATAATTGATTTATCCAGTTGAAATATCTTAGAACAACTCCTAAAAGCAGGCAGATAACTTTCCTTACTGAAGTTAAGAATTTTACACAGAACTTAATCTTATCCAATATCCCCTTTTAAACTGTTACTAGTATTGTGCATGAAACCTACATTTTCAGGCTCAACACCGATGTCTTCACAGAACTTTTCCATTCCTTCGGGCCCCACAACTTCATCAGGACCTTCAAAACCAAAAAGAAACCAGATCAAAATCTAAGTAACATTCTCTGCTCCCAAGGGTTATACACAACAATCATTAGACTATATTGCATACAAGCTATCGTTAAAAACACCAAATTACACTATTACATAGCTCTTATGTTAGAACCATTCTGTCAATTGCAATGTGGAGACACATATATTACATATGAAGTAACATTATGAACTAAAAGCAAAACTAAATCAGAACTTTCATGTTGTTCACTGCCTCCCCACAACAGAAGACAAGCTATCTTAGTTTGTGTAGGCAGTTTTCAAAAGACTCCACCAAGTGTTCCATTGACATAGCTCAACTCAACTCTAATAACTGGTGGTCAGTTGTTTCTAAGACAACCTGGGTACTGCTACTTTGTGCTGAAGTTACTCTATGAATAACGTTCTTCAAAGAGTTATTTTATCAACAATAAAAAAAAAAAATCCATGTTAACATTATAGGTTTGTACTAACACAGAAGAGAAAAAATCTTCAAATAATGTAAGGTTAGTTTTATGTTGCCAAGTAATATGAGGAGAGAGAGAACAATAAATCAGAAAAATGCTAAGCACGTTAGCCATGTACAAAGCAGAAAAAGGTTTCCGACTGCAGTGAAAATAACTTCATTAGGATCACAACAGTTAGTGTTATGCTGTCACTTTTCCATTTTAACACAAAGAAAGCCTCTAAAAAGCAGCAAAAGAGAGTATATAAAGAGCAGACACACACTACAACGCTTTGTTTCTCTGAAACTCTCTCGGGTTTCAGTTATTTCTACTAAGCCTGTTCCAAAAATGACTCCTACTGGGCAACCAAATATTATTAGAAGGCCTGTTGACATGGTATTTTGATATGTCTTGGATCATCATGTTAATATTTTTTTAGTGAACAGGAATCCAGGCAAAAGGTTAAGGCTTTATCTTCCAAAACAACATGCCATTTTATGATTTTTTTTGACAAATTTTTATATTTATACATGGACAGAACAGTCCTTCCCCCCCGCCCCGCCTTGACGATATCTGTCTCCACTTCATCTGTATCCGCTGCTGTTACTGCAAGAAGAATTCTCTTTTAGAGTTTGGATAAGGCACTTTGAATAATTATTGTGAGATAAGAACATAGTCAATAAAAACTATTGAGAATGGCTACTTTTAGAGGAAAATAAAATGCAACTGGCATTTAAGATTGTGAATGTCTACCTCATGAAAAATGTTGCAAAGAACATTTCGCCTAGGTAAGCAAGGCAAAACAATGCCATCTGGTTTTGAGAAGCCTTTAGATAGAACGTGCTAAAAAATTTGCACATTTAAGTTATGAAGAGAAACACATACAAGTGTTCACTGTCAATGACAACTAGAATCAGTGTTTTTGGCACAGAAGTAATATGTACAATTCATATATATGTATGTGTGTGTGCATAATTTTCTCTTTTAATTGAAACATTTAGTCTCCTATGGTGTATAATTTCAATTTTATGCTAAAAATGTGGCATATTTTGACTACTGGTTAACTACCAAAGTATATCCTTCTACGCTCAGTTCTTGACTCAACAACAAGAACAAAATTTACAGGCCTTAAAGTTAAAAGTATGTGCAGGTGCATTTTGCAGAATAAAATTAACTGAGAATTATTATTTTCCTCAGAAAAGACTCTTTACTCCAAGAGTATGCCTCAAACCTAAATCAGAAAGCAGATTACTAGATTAGAGAGAAGGAAAATATCAGTTGAGATAAATATACACAAATCAATTGCTGGCAGATAAATCATAATCTCATTTCATACTGAAAACTGGCCATTAATGAGTTTTAATCACCAGCTAGTTAGGATGTTCTTCAAGTGGTGACTAGACAAGAAAAGAAGTTCGTAACAGTTCACAGATCCTCAATTTCTAATCATATGATTGGTAAATAAATGGTCTAATAAATACTGTAAAATATACTGCATATTCACTGAAAGCAACTACTACTTGGATAGTAATTCTGATTTATTTGAAAGAGGCTATTTCTAACACTTATGAATGAAACATTTGCTATTTAGAATATCAAAAATGTTAGGACAGATTCTCAGATAGCAAAACCAGTATAAACATCTATAATCCTATTTTGTAAAATAGAAAAAACAAGATGCTTAAATCATTAACTTTTTCATTATCCTTCCAATTTGACTATAAACAAGATTGTTAGATAAATGAACTTCTACCTAAAGTACCTCTCAATGTCCTGATTCTTGTCCATTTCAGATCAAGAAGCAGAATCATTCAGTGTATTCTGGTTCAACACTGCACTATCCAACATCAGTTACTTCATTTGAAAGAATGTCATGGTAAGTTATAAAGCATAGATTAAAGAGGAAAAAGGCAAAAAGAACAAATAATGAAAAGGTGATAGCAAGAGCTATAATAATTCAAGTTCATGTCATAAGGAAGTGAATATGGACATATTCTTTTATGTCCACGTCTGCACAAAAAAAACCCAAAGCAACAAACCAAAATGCAATTAATATTTTATGTTTTCATTAAAAAACCTATATAGTTTTAAATATGAATCCATTGCATATTACCTGCATATTCATAAAACCAAGCCAGGCACTTTTTGCTTGAAAAATGCTCCTCTCCACTTATTACTTTACCAGAGGCTTGTGATCTGCAATAGCTTATAGAAACACAAGGATGACAAGCGTTATTTTAATAAGAGAAATGGAAAATAACTTACAATTAAATTACAGATTGTTTATTATTAGTTCAAGCTACTTAAACTGTTTCACAAAGTAAATATACATCAACAACGAAGCCAAATTTGTTAAAGGGCAACTGTCTGTCATCCTATTTCAACACTTGTTGGACCGTGAAATGCAACCTTCTCATAGCCCAATTTATTGCAACTATTACTTTTTCTGAAATGCAAAAGTACTGTTATCTTGTAGACATTAAACCAAAAAACCCTCACACAGATGGTCAAAATATCACTACTCAGTAATTCAAGTGCCTTATTATCTACTTATATTTATACATACAGGCATTTAAAGTGAGGTCTCTAATAAGCAGCATGATCTTCCAGAGTGCTGAATATGCACAGATCCCATTTAGGTCAACAGGAGCTGCAGAGTTTGACATATTTCAAAGTCAGGCTATTTATAGTTAAGCATCCAAATTTGGGAAGAAAACTCTGTCAATTTGTGTAAACAAATAAACTGAATATCTGTAACTGATATAATAAACACATAACTGAATATCTGTAAATTCTACAGATGTTTGGTACACATACCAGAACAGTAATATGCAATCTATGGTAAGACTAAAACTGCTCAGCACACACAGCTTCCCTCCTACATTGTCTTCATTATGTGACACACAACTCAGTTTGCCTAGGAAATGAATTTTCATAATTTATCATTCTTTAAAAGAATACATAGAATAACTGATATCTTCCAGTAAAAACACTGACCAAATGAAAGCATCTTTAGTCACTAAGGAGCTGCAGCACCTTTTCAATGCACATTCCTTTCAAATACAAGTTACAGACTTTTAGAACAAGCCAGGATTATTTCCAAGAATGAGGTGAAAGTTAATCGTATGAGAGGATTTAAAATTATGCTGTTCCTACATTGTAATTTTAATGAAAATGTCAAGCAGGAAAAGAATAGTTCAATTCTGAGAGGTGGTGAACAACTTTATCTCCCATGTATCGCTTTAAGCTTCACTGGAAAAGAAAGCAACACCCTCCAAGATGAAGCCGTATGCACTGAAAGCTAGAATTAAAGATGTATTACAGACAAACATGCATTAAACAGCCATTAAAAACACAAGTCATCAGAAAGAAACAGAGCCATACAGTATGCTATTGCTTGTTGGCTTTATCCAGTTGGGTATATACTCATTTGTAATCACTGGTAAATGCTCGTCTATCCAACATTTTATGATCAGCTAGTATGAACTCATTTACATCACAGTTTTTGCCCAACAACTACTAGCTTCCTGTAGACTCTTTTTTTTTTTTAAAGGAGCTTTCAGAAGATTTTTTTTTTTTTAAAGTACAAGAAATTAAGATCATAAAATTTTGGTCATCTGTGTTCAAGAAAGATGAACTGAAACTGGAACAGATGCAGAGAAGAGCTATGATGAGAAGGAAACTGAAAATCGGTATTATAAACCAAAATAATTTAGCTTGTTTAATTTAACAAAGTAAAGTATGAAAAAACACAAGCGCTCACTCCACGTACGCTGTGAGGCAGAACCACGAGGGAGGAGTGTAATATAAAGGATAGCACAGGCACAGGAGCAGTTATTAACTGGCTATGAATAAATTCAGACTGAAACTAAAAGATCATTAATGACCACAGAAAGTGAGCTCTGGAAGTTACCCAAAATGAACAGTCAAAACAAAATAAAAGGCACTGGGCACTTCTATGCTCAAGCTTGGCCAAGCCATGAGAGAGGCCATACGCCACAGTTTCTTGCAACAGCCATTCCCGTAGAGTTGATTTCATAAGCCCTTTGTATTCTCATGTCCTCAGGACGTTTATCGCAACTACTGGTTTACTGACAAACTTCACAAGGTCTCATAGACGAAAGCAGCGTACAGTTACTTTGGGGAAGCCACTCCTGCTACGTCACACTAATAGTTTATTATTCTGATGGTAATTTTTGGGTCTCATGATGTAAAGTGGTGTTTTTATGGTAGTTAATGAACAAGAAGCTTCAGACTCCTCTACTTATTAGAAAAACCTTTCCTGATTTTTATTCTGGAGCGGGCTGAGCTCTATTTCCATTTCACTGAGGAAAAAAAAGAGACGATTTAACACCCACACTGAGTGCTAGCAGCCTTAAAAGGAGGAGAGCAGCCAAGCCCAGGCCAAGGGTTACAATCGGTACGGGGGCACACGCTGGAACCGGCCCCCCTGGCACAGCGAAGGCAGAACCCGCAGGGAAGGGCAGCGGTTCCGTCGTGCTTCTCCCCTC